TAACATTACAACGAGAACCATTTAAAAAAACGTTATTGATTAAATTTACAGAATTACAAAATAATGCATTTCATATATAGCGGTCCTTCTTTATAAATGTAAAGCATATTGTAAATTTAACAGAAATTCATTCCACATAGTATTAATATAACCAAGTACTTCTATATTTTATCTTTTTTTATTTAAAAATATAAAAAAATATATTTGACATTATGCGCTACGTATAAGTTATACTCGAATTAGAATTACATGAGAATTTCACCCTGAAAGTCGTTCCGAAATTCACATTGGCGAAGTCGTGAATAAAGATAATTGAGATTTTGATTGTTGTATATTAAGTGAATAATGTGTGGGGTGTGTTAGTTATTAATTCAAATTAATCAACAATATTTATTGGTGATTAATTTACCCCACGTGAGCCCCTCCAATTAAATGCTAAATTATATTTAAGTTATTCCTCCCGTTGTACTATAACATAAATAATTTTTAACAAAAAAAAAAAAAACGACTTCAAACCGAAATTAAAAAACATTGTTGATACTTATAACATTTGAGGATTGCGCTCGATGCCCGTCTCTGGGATGCCATCATCAGATCTGGGTTTCCTTATCATGGTATATATCCTTTCCAACAAAAAAAGAATCATCAAAATCGTTTCATAAACGACGAAGTTATCCGCGAACACACTTAAAAAATATATAGTCCAATTGAGAAACCTCCTCATTTTTGAACTCTGTTAAAAATGCAAATATTTGTATAAATAAAATAAAAATGCTAATATTTGTATAAATATTTGCATTTTTATAAGTTTCCGAATAAAATAAAATAAAATGCAGCTGTTGTCATCGATCTTACGAAGTCGTGACTCCACTTGGCTTGAGCCCTCAATTAAAGGCGGTCTCCACTCAAGAACTCGTCTGCTCCATCAGCTGTGGTTTCTAGGTGCAATGCGTACATCCTACAGCCACTTTACTTTTCCTATGCTATGTCGATTCATGGTTCCCTATCAAACTTCCTCATTTCGGATCGTATAATCATTAATATATTTGCATGTTTTATCACCAATCTTATATTCTTTATAGAAATGATACCAATTGTACAAAATATTATTATGCTTGAAATATTATTATAAATACTTTTATGCTTAATATATGTCAACTCTCGCAGTGCTTAAAAATAACGATGTAAATAGAACCATTAACACTTGGGTCTATCTTCAAGCAGAAAAACAAAATATTGATTTTTAACAATGAAAGAACGCCATCACAAAATATAAGATTATAATAATAAATGGTAAGAAAATCAAATACAAAACAAAAGTATAAAAAAGTGGAAAAAGGAAATCACAAAATGCGCCGTGAAAGCAGTTGAGTAACTACCGCGAGAGAAACTCAGTTGATTGCGCATGATGAATGCGCTTGAGGTAGGTTATGGGGGAATTTTGCATTACAGCAAAAAAAATGCTATTTCGTACGATAAGCCATATTCGATTTACTCTAAAAATTTCGCAATTATTGTGCTAAGCTTTTGTAATTATAGCAGGGCATTTGATTATCTCTACTTCATTTCCTTAACGAGTAAGGCATAATTTAGTAGGACCGATTTTGGTTATACATCAATGAATAAGCAAACAATCGATGAATAAACGGAAATTGGTATTAAAATTTGTTAACCATACATGCGGCGGTGATCGCTTATCGTCGGGTGACCCATGCTCATTTGCCTCCTTTTTGCATAAAAAAAAAGATGAGAACTTATTTTCAAACATAATTATTACTTAGTTTATATTTGTATTGTTTTATATTGCTATTTCTTCTTACGTAATGAGCTTATACACAATATATATTTAACGGGTGGAAGGATTTTTTGGTTTTAAAAAAAAAGGAAGATTTTTCGTTTTTGACTCATATTTTCATATGCTATAATAATATTTATATATCAATAAAAATCAAAAACAAATCCTTACCCTTACTAGTCTAAAGTTTTTATGTAGTATAGATGTTGTATAGATCGTGGGTGTATAGATGTTTGTTACAATTTTACGCAAAAACTACTAAAAGGATTTTAATCAAGCGTTACAATAATATAGCTTATCCATCAGAATAACACATAGGCTATAATTTGGTAGCAGAAATCAGAATATTATTAGAAATCATTATCACGTTCGATGAGTCTTTTCTTTTCCTGTGCAGGGCTCGTGGTTCCGCTTTACAGACAAACGGCCCCGGTGGCTATAGAACGTATTAACCTTGCTGGAGCATGAACCCGCTCCCGCTTTATGTAAAGTTGCAACCCTACGGGTGTTACATGTTCATGGGCAGTGGTTATCACTTTACATCAGTTGTACCGCCAGCTCGTTTGCCACTTTGTCACATAAAAAAAGGTGGTCTTACGGTGCCTATAGGGGACGATGAACCAGCGTATCAGTGTTTTGCATCACGTATTGTTGTTAAGAGAGACTCTCGTTGAGGCTGGCAATAATTCCTTGTCCGATGCGATGAGGATTTTATGTGGGTGCAGTTTACGCATTGAAAGCAGGTATTTCAAAGTTGCTCACCTATATATAACCGAATCCTGTTGGGAAAGAAAGATTCTCGAGTATGAGCATCGTATGGGTCATCGCAGTGTTAGACGATCCCACCCCCCCTTAAATAGAGTAATGACCATAGGCGTATATAGCAGGGGGGCCGGGTGGACCGTGCCCATCCCAGTATCGTCTAGTGCCCACCCCAGGAGTTTGGGTTACCTATTCGAAATTCAAAAACACACGCAGTCTGCTGCACATCACCAAATTAAGAAAATGCATTGTACACATTTACATCAACAATCAAATTTTCATGAGTAAATCGTCAGTCAACATGAAAAGGAACTTGAGTAAAATAAAGAAAATATACTAAAAATAAAAGAGACCAGTGCTATATCTAGTATGTCAAGGATTGCCTTTAAGGAGTCACCGTGAAATATCTGAACCAAAAAATAAGGGAAAATTTTTAGAAATAATTCAACTTTTCGCTAAATACGATGAATTTAATCAACATAATCTGATTCATTACAAAATAGAAGGGATCGTAAATAAAATGATACATGGCAGATGTTATAACGAAGAAAAAATATCGATAGGTTTGAGACGTAGCAGAATTAGAACCTGAAGAGTCGTTCATTTTTTAAACAAATGTCATTTGGATAATGTTCCCATAATAGCGCAATCATATGATGGCGCAAGTGTAATGTCGAGTAAATCACAAGGTTTGCAAGCGATTATCAAGGAGAGAAATGGTCCCCATGTCACTCACGTGGACTGGCGCATAAGCTTAATTTTGCTCTTGTGAACTCATGCGCTAATGTTTCACCAATAAATAAGCTTTTTTAAAAAAATTTGGAAGCATTATATATCCACTTTTCACACTCTGATAATCATGCCCATCTCAAGAAAATCTAAAATTTTCAGAACCAGAATGCTTAATTATAAAAGCCTAATAAAAAAAAAAGAATATTTACCATTTAATTCCTCTTGGAACACGCTAAACAATGCCTTTCCTCAAAACTTTTGTAAATTAATTTGAACCGCAAATGTGATCCTTCTTATATCAGACGGATGCGAGCGGAGCTTGGGCGGGGGTCATGGCAGATAATTAAGAAGTGGCTATGAGAGAAGACAGATTCTCAAGCACTACTCTTCATCATGTAGAAAATAAGGAATACGTTACGCCAGAAAATGTTTTAAATGTTCTTGCAGTGTTATTTATTATAATAGTATTAATTAGTTAATACAATTCTTATAAATGAATAAGCATGATTTGATGCATCATGCAATAATATGACGCATAGTGTTAGAATTTTTTGTAGTAAGGGCCCAGGCCCACCCTGAAAAATAACCGTAGATACGCCGATGGTGATGACCTGGGCAAATATGTGGGAGATCAATGAATGCGGTTGGTTGGCTTCAGGATCCTGCTTCGTGGCAGCCTATCTATGTTCAGCAGTGGGTTCGGGCAGGCTGAAATGATGATGATGATGATGATGAAGGTGTTTTGGAAGCGAAAGAGGTTATACGCAAGTCTTGTAACGCACGTGTTAGATTACAAAGGCGGGCCCGCCTTTGTAATCTAACACGTGCGGGTTTCATAACGAAAGCGGGGTGAACTATGGGGTGGATGCTATTCTTCATAGAGTGATAAACCTTTTCGAATAATTTTACACGTAGTACCTATTTCCATTTACTGAGTAATATGTATTACATCGCATTTGTTTATTTTATTTCATAAACATTGTTATTTGTAGTTAAAGGTCAGTCGAGTCGAGTTAGCGAGTCTACTTCATCTTTTTTATCTTTTGCAAAAAACTACACGTGTTATCGATGCAACTTTGTTCATTTACATAGATTGTATTATGCTAATTTGTATAACAAACAATGATTATGGGTCGCGTAAATATGCAAAATACCAGGAGTTTTCCTTTTGATTATGTTCCAGCTAGTAATCAAATGCTTTGGGTGTTTGCTATTGTTACTTTACTCGATAGGTGTGATTACAAGTACTGGCATCGTTACTCAAATCTGAGAATAAGGGAAGTCCTAAATGGAACTTAAAGAAACATTGCTGAGTTTCGAAACAATAAAAGTATATTCAAATAGAAGCATTACACCAACTTATTAATTGTTAAAACACTACTACCGATTTGGAAAAAAGGCCAGTAATGATCTGATCATGTATAGAATAAAAATATAATATAAAATTTCACATTTACAACCGCATATCCTTTTGGGTAAAAAGACACGTTCATTGTTGCTCTGTTAAAAGAGTTGGATATGTGTTATTTATTCATATAAACCAAACAGTAATTTATGAATTCATTGCGAGAATTTCGAGTTTGATCAAAGGGGAATGTTAGGTTAATGTAGGAAATTCACACGTCGTTTAAAATTAATTAACAATAATTTATTTCAATATAGGTATTATTGAATATGACACACATTTATGTTTATGTTTCTTTTGTTTCAGCCTGTCCAAAATGGATCTGGAGTTCCGCAATCTCACTTATACAGTGTACAGTCGCATAACAAAAGGTAAATGGTATTGTTCTTTATCACATTAAGTTCCTTTATCATTATTTTATCGGATAATTTATCTTTAACTTTATTTTACTCTCGGAGCAGAAGTTACGTAAAGCTTTGTCGGTGCCTTGTCACAATTCATACCACGAGCCTAATAGATTTTAATTTGTTAAAGCAAATGCATGTTGAGATGTCTTCGTGTAGGTCATGCAGACGCTCCTGTTTTTAAACCAGTTGCAAGGTCATCTTTCAAAGTACTACAATCTCGCAGATTTGAAGTAGAAGTGCTCGCAATTTTGTATTTCCTCTGGCGAGTTATAATCGTGCCACAATACGTTTGCTGTAGATGTCGATTATTTCATAAAAGAAACTTTTTGAATTTTATTGTCCAATAGGTGCCGTCAAAGTAAGCATATTCGAATCACGATTGCAAAGATTATATCGTCTGCAGGAAGCCGTGAGAAACGCGGAACGCGGGTCCTGTATTTTTTTTATGGGAACTGGAGGCTTACCTGATGGTAAATGATCACCGCCGTCCATGGACACCTGCAACACCAGAGGGCTTACAAATGCGTTAATATATGTGGTCTGGTATCGATGGTTGTAAAGTCGTGAAAAGTAATTAAGTAACTCTTCATAGTCAAAGTGTAGTTGATATTAATTATAATGCAAGAATGTAATAAATTGATTAATTAAAAAAATAATTCATTCATAATATTAATTAAATAATGAAATGACAGGTTTTGAATCAGTGGCGCAGTTGCTTGTGATCCAAAGATAATTATTCCGCATCTGGGTGTCTGTTTTGAAGGAGGGTTGACGTCAGGCTGGCGGCCGGTAGTAAAAAAACCTAGCCAAAACCACTTACAACATGATTCACATGTTCTCCCGACCTACCTAGGTGGGACAAGGGCAGGAGGATGATGAATGAATTTACTGTTTCGTCTAATAAATCGTAGCTTATTGCTGGCGATGTTAGTCTCAACGATCCAGCGTTTTTATTCTTATTATGATTATTGCCGATCTCTAGGACAATACAGAGGAGTGAACGGCGTTCTACGGTAGCGAACGTATGTATTATTACCTAGGGTCGTTTTTCTACTTGTATGAGTGCATAAATCAGTCTCTTGGTAAAAGCACTAGGAATCAATTGAATTCAATGCGCTTCAGCATATTTCTTATCCTTTGTTTATTTTATTAGAGATGATAAAAAACTAAAGTATCAAAATATTTGTACAATTATGGGAGATATATTAGATATCAAGACGTATAGAAGAATAAGACACATCTGAATTTACCCTTACCACACGGGGAACTCTTCGTTTAACCAATTAAATGAACAATAACACGTGTATTTGATAATAAAAACATACGAAGAAACATTTACATAAAATGTGTTTGTTAAATTCAACTGATAGGTATCTTTCTGTAGATATTGGTTAGAAACAAAGAAATAAGGAATAAAAAATACTTACAGACGAAGCTTTAGGACAACACGATGAAAAAAATATGCTACATTGTTACGTACGCCTTATTATATAATATGTATGTTCTTATTTTCTTGCTCGATCGCCTATTTGCAATGCTAGTAACAAAACAATAGAGTACGTTTGGGTCACACATCATTAATATACTTTTAACTTATTTCATTATTTACTTAATCGTTGGCAAAGTCGACCACGTTTTATCGGTAATAATTGTAAACGTTTTTCATTGCTATCTTTTCTTTTTTTAATTTTCTAATTAGTGCACCTCATTTCGAGAACATCGGAACTGCGTCAACCATTACGTTGTCAAAATTCTATATTAGGACGTATTCGGTCGTGCTTACTTTGTTTTGTTGCTATTTATATAGAAACTTGGCAAAGTGAAACGGTGAAATCGGGTCGCTGTTTGTAAAAACTTTATTTAGAAAGCGAAAATTAGGACGATATTGTCATTATATATATCACATTATAAATATCGCTTCATAATTTTAAATTACGGTTCTGCCGAAGATAATGAACTTACGGCAGATTGGCTGGAATATGGATTTTATCGTGATTTGATGTTTTGGGTTCGAGTCGCCCCATGGTAGTTAATACGTTTTTCGTAGATCGTTAAATACCTATTGTGGGGAAACACACTAGAGAAATAATGGTTTCAGTAAAACGTATTCAGCCTTAGCCATCTCAGTCATATCACCTCATGCGAACAGACTTCAGGAGTTGTTTGTTTATCGATAGTCCGTAGGTAACTAAATTCATTATCTATTGCTAAAACACAAATGTGATATAATATAATCTTTAATGCATGAAGGGTCCTTATGGATTACCATAGGTACGAAGAGCTTAAGCTCCTCATGAAAACCTTCTACTGTTGGCCCTTCATAGTTGGAAAAGAAGGCAGCCTCGAATGCCCGTAACGCATAATCTTTTTACGAGGCTCGCGTACAACTATAATGCCCTAAGCTTGTATGTCTTTTGCACACGTCCATCCTAAACTTGTTTGCAAACCTCAGGTTATAATAAAAAAATAAGGGTACAGACCTCGAGTATTTAAGAGAATAAAAAAAATATAGTCCTAACTCACATGACTAATAAAAAACAAATACAATGCGCACACCTGGGTTCCAGCGAACGATTAATACAGTCAAGGGTCATCGGGTTCACGGTCCGTACCGAATCTCGATGGCCCGTAGCTGATATTCCTTCTCATATATAACGGATCCATGAGACTGATCCTATCCAACGGGGGGGGGGGGGTTGGACCATGTCTGTGTCACGAATTCAGCGTGAAGCTTTAATAGTCTTCGGACTGGAAGTAAAAACTTCGATCTAAGTAAAGTAAGGTTGAACATTCCTTTTAGGTATACCTGACCCAAGAATAAAAGAGAAAAACGAATAAAGGACAGCTTGAATTCTTTACAATGCAATGCACTTTTTTTTACTTTGTAATAAAATCAATAACCCTCCTATTTACGTTCGCAGAATAAATTAAATTCTGTTTTCCAGCATGAATAAGCAGTATTCCTTGATTGTAATTATTCTATGAACGCTCAAATCCGCCTCTGTCATGGTTGCCATTAGAACTTATATCATTCGATTATGATTGATTTTTCCGCGATTAGTGAAAGGTTTTCAAAATATGTCTTTGAATGCATACACTCCAATGTCCTATAAGCAATGTGTTCATTTAATACCTTTAAACGAGCAATTCTTGTATATACATATATAAAATAATTATAATCGGAATCTCGGAAACAAGTATGTGCGTAGATTCGGGGGCGAAAAATCGATCTGGCTAGGTTTCATTTTTAGATAATGTCCTTTTATCCCTGTTTTCAGGGAATGAAAAGTATCATTCGAATATGACGGTAAATATCCGAAAAAAAATGTTGTAATAGCTCGGTCGGTAATCATGATGTCATAATAAACTTTTGAATTTTGAATGCCGACCACAAAAATATTTATTGGATTTCGAATGTCTTACTAAAATAAAAATGTGCATTATTTCGAATTGCATTAATTTTTAAATAAGGAGCAGAAGCTTAAAGAAGACCTAGTTGCAGTTATCGTATACTGTAATAGAGTATAGGCATCAAATTAGATTTTGGAATTAATGAAAAATTTTAATTTAACCAAAAGATTCGTTTATCGCTCCATCAAACGATATTACGAGAAGTGGCCGCTCTCGCACTGTTAGGACTCCAGCAGTCCTATATACCTTGTGGTACCTTATTCTCATACCATGTTCATTAACAGACACTCGGTATTCTATAGAGCGAAATGCTGACAAATTGTCGTGACATGTGATGGCGCGCGAAATTGAGTTTATCCGACACAAATCTGGTCCTCCTCCTGTCCATACTTAAATTTGTGGAGTTATAAAATATGACAATACTTGGTAAAATGCTTGCTCAACGCATCATCCTGATTTGTAGTCAATCCAGACATTTCTGATCAAAACAGCGGCCGTTATTAATATGGATCTTGTTCGTGCTGCTACAGTCGATTGGCCGCGCTGGTAGAAGGCTTGTATTCAAAATCGCGGGGATTATTTTGAATAAGCTTAGCATAAGAATCTATATTTTAGTAAGTTCCTTTTGGTATCTAAATGGCTACTGCTGAACGAACATGTGTCAATTATTGTACAATAAACATGCGACAGAACTTATGACCAGACACCCCAAATTTGTCTATGGACAAACAACCAGAGCTGGCAACGTGTTTATGGGTCATGTTTGTCTTAAAAATCGAACAAGTATTGGCAAAAAATATTGGGTAAAATCTTTGCCCAGTAGTATTCTGGTTATAAGTTTGTTTTACAAAATGTTTAGGTGAAAAAGAAGAAATGACTACTATCTGAACGCCTATATCTCTGTGATATTATCTAGAATATAAAGACAAATGCGGACCTCGGCACGGCGAGCGCTTAAAGCTCGTTCAAGCCTTCACAATATTATGTTACCTTATCATATTCTTAGTATCTATTTACAGTGATCGAACAGATTATATAATGTATATCAAATATAGATATACAGTAGTATTAAAGTTATATAAATTTTAGTTTTGTAAAGGTTTTTCTCAAAATAGTAAGTATATAAAAAGTTTATAACTGACGAATAATAATCTTTAAAATGCATACCCAATTACCACCTTATTTAAATTTTTTCACCCTTATCCTTCATTCAATGTCGAGAATAATCTGTCTGTATTTAAAAATCTGTCAATGTTAATCTAATTTCTAAACGGCTTATGTGATTGTTGTTGAATCAATGAAATCATTTTATTGTTAAAGAAACTTGTGCTGTATTTTAATTGAACCGCCAAGCACTTTTCGATTCAAATTGCTTGATTTATAATGTATGTTCTCTTTTCGAATTTCAAAATTCCATCAAGGATATGTGAGCTGTAGCCTCAACGACAGCCAAGAAAAAGGGACAGTTTACAGGGACTTGATGACGTCTACGTTATAATTAGTTAATTAATGTTTCAACTATTTTTGTATCGCATATTGTGTTTTGTTGGAAA